TACAGTCTCACTTCTGATCAGACTCTTACACGTCAGGGTCCCAATCCACCTTTTCCTGAAAACTATCACACTTTGCCAAAGAATACCAGGCAGCCTTCAGGGAGCTCGCCACCACTAACAAACCGCAATTTGCCGAGTGACTACAAATATGCGCAAGACCGTGTTAGCCACTTGAAGATGTCCCAGGAGGAAAGGAAAGCAAATAAGGATGGAACTGTTTGGCAGCTATATAGCAGAGACAGCAATTTAAACATGGCAGCCCCACTGCCCCACTTTATGTAGGTTCTTCAGACTTTATGGATCGTGGTAAGTCAAAAAGTTCATTAGATGTTCCACGATCAATATCCGTTCCGCCCTCTCCATCTGATATTCCTCCACCTGGACCTCCAAAAAGCTTTCCCCCGAGGAGACCACATACTCCTGCAGAAAGGCTTACAGTTAAACCATCTGACGACAGACAGACCGTAGATGTTCCTTTTGCTGGATCACCCAGGAAGATACGAAATCATGCTGTAAAGGTTTGTATACAGTGTAACTGATTTCAAACTATTCTATGTGTGGTGTCATACACTGATAATTTAATTTAGTCATTTTCATTGCATCCTTCCTTGTGTATGAAAGATCATGCAAGTTGTAAAAGTTAATACAATTAATAATTTTCTCCTAAAACTCTTATCTTTCTGATCATTTCAGATTTATTAATTTTTATTGGTTAGGAAAGGAAAATTGGTGGCACATCACATTAGTTTGGAATATATTCAAAAACTGGAAGGCATATGTTTATATGTATAAAATATACAAATTGTAGTATTTTAATGTATCGAGAAGGTAGGCAAGAATATAAAACTCAGCAGGATGAACTCTTCCTGGATTATTTACTTATGCTTGTAGTCTTCAGTGTTTGCTGTGTCTGCTTTCTCTACGTGTTTTGCTAGCATAGTTAGTCCTACAGCTGATTAATTTTTTAGTTATGGCTAAAAACATAATAATTTTTCAGGCATTTGATAGTTCAAGTCCACTGCAGAGTTGTTAGCATTGGGCTAACCAAAATCAAATAGTGTTAGTCTGAAATTTTAACCTTCTGCAGAATTTCAGTGTGGTTTTTTTGTAGGCACTGTTGTACCCTCTTATCCAGGTGTGACAGAGGTTTCCCTATTCAGTACTCCACATGGCTCTCCTTGCCTAAGGAAATTAGGGAAATTCAGAAATTCAGGATTGAATCAATGTAGAATTTATTTGTCTTGGTAGCTCTTACACTGGAATAAGTGGCAGTGAAAGCCTCTGTATTCACCTAATTCTTTGACCTCAACCATGGGCTCCGATGGGGAAAGTATTTGCAAAGAAAGAGACTTGTAAATTCAGATACCCAGTGTGGGTTCAGGACCATGACTTTAGGTTGCATGCCAGCTTCATGCACCGTTTAGATTTTTTTCCTAGTGTATATGTGGTGTAGCTGTTGGATGTCTTTCAGCATTTATAGATTTATAATATTCTGTCAGAGGATGAAATAGTCTAGTGATGTGCAGCACTGGAAATTAATACTTTTTTAACTCCTCATTATATTATACCAAACATTGGTTTCTCCTTGTGTAAATTGAAGGAGTATTACATCCCTTATGAAGGAATGTACAGCAGTCTTTTCCCTTCCTGTGCAACGTAGCTGCATAAATTTTACTCATAAAATAAAACTCTTTTTATATCATATTGGTTTTACCAATATAGGGAAACACAGTTTTCCTCATCTGTAAAACTTTTCTGTGAAACTTCTGTAAAAGTTTCTAGAGAAAAATGCTAATGTTTCTATATGTAAGCACACAGCATCATTTTACATTTTAATCTATATCTCTACAGAAATCTGTGATACTTCCCCCTTCCCTGGAATGCTTTATTAAATTCCATCCAGTTACGCTGTTAAAAAAAAAAAAAAAGAAAAAGGCAGAACAAAACAGCATTCAGTGAAATTCAGAGACACGAATAAAAATGTATCACGAGACATTTAGTCTGCCTTGAAGAAAGCCATGAAAGGCATTAAGAGCAAGATGAAAGAATGTTCCTTTTGCTGGATCATCCAGGGAGGTTTTCATACTATAAGCAGAAAGGGGCAGATCATATGAGATTATTTAATAAAATCTGGTATTAATGGAACCCATTGCCACAAGGTGTCACTCATGTCAGTAGCTTAGTGTTCCCTGGCTAAAAGAGGGCTTTCACAGTTGTTACTCTATGGAGAACAAGCCTGCTGTTGGAGGGCATGAGCCAACCAGCCTTTCTCTGGGAGACATTGCGGGGGGGAACTTTATTAATATTTTTTTTATTTGCTGGAAGCCACTTTGCATGTTCTGCTGAAGCATCTTGTGCTGCCAGAATCTGCTGATCTGCCCAGCATCACACGTGCTAAATTTGCGTTTGTTCATTCATAAGTTTTACTTAATCATCAAAGGATCTGGCTGGCCCATGAATGTTACCCTGATCTAAGCATGCCATGAATTCAAATACAGGATTTGTGTCAGAGGTGCACATCTTCTGAATTTTCCATCAAATACAACATACCTCTCACTTGAGACAATCCTTACAGTTCTGGTTGTGGCTTCTTACAGAGCTCAACTCACATTGATCGACGCTCTATGCCTGCTATGGGTTACATGACGCATACTGTGAGCGCACCCAGTTTGCATGGCAAGTCGGTAAGTTGAGAGAGCAGTTACTTCTCCTTTTGTGTCATCATAGTATTGTAGTTAAGTTTTAAAATCCCGCTCATTCCACAGTAGTTGTATTTTTATTAGTTAAAACATAAATAACTTGAATGAGAACTTAATCTGAACAAGCTCCCAGTAAAGCCTGTAGGAATTTTGCTGTTACGTGCAACGTGAAGAGGGGTGAGCTGTCTATTATTACAAGATTCAACTTCCATTATGTTTATTTGACCAAATGCAGGGTTAATGAAATAATTGCTTCATCATGTCAAGTAACTGCTTTCTGGGCACTGAGGTGAAAAATGTAATTACAGTTGCTCTCCCTGAAGACTGCTAATTTCCTCTTTACAATGTGTCTAAATACCTGCAGCCTGAAGAGCTAACATTGCTTCTCATTCGATTAAGGAGACATCAGGCTAAGTTGGCTAGTATACGAAATTACACAATCGCACAATTACTGCAGCACTTGCCAACTAATTCCACCTATCAGGTCAGCTGCTGCTTGGCTCATCTGTGCCGTATGACATTTTGTGACTCTGCAAATGCTTCATTAGTGGCGTGCTTGAGTCTGTGCTTTCTTGCCCGTTCTTTGGTATTCTGTAATTCCCAGGTCGTTTGCGGTTTTTCTTTGCTGCTGTATTTACTATAAAAGATGAGCGTTTTAAGTTATAGGGCACCAGTGCATACGTTTCAAAGTGTTATGTATACTTTTCTTTTTATACTATTTCTGAAAATGCTGCATCTTCAGAAATGTGACTTAAAATATTAGATAAGTTCATTCTAAAGCAAAACCATTTCTTTGTGCTGCTTTCATGATGGGATTGGCTCCCTGTGCCACATGCTGCGTCATCTGCAAATTGAAATGCATCAGCCAGTTTGCACATTCATGAGAGCTTGTAACTGTGTCAGTTCTGCAGGTGAACGTTGGTTCATAAAAGCTCGTGGGCGTCTTGGATCATCAACAGTGCTCTTGATTGCACTGATGTATGAAACTTGTGAATGTGATATCAAACAGAAATGTACTTAGAGAGCTCTTTGGTCCATATTAGAGCCTCAAAAATGGAGCTGTCCGGGAATAAAATGTGGTGACTCTTCTTAGAATTGGTGGAGGCTTTATATTGGCCCAAAACTAAAGGAATTTTTTTTTAATTTGGAAAAGTTTCATTTCCCAACTTACCTCACCTACAGAACAATTGCACTAAGATGGGCGATAGTAACAGGGATTTCTCCAAAAATGGGCAGACTTTCTAGTCAAGTCCTCAGCCAGACTTACAAGCTGATTGGACAAGAATTGTAAGTGAACACCTCTAAAGAAATGCAAATGTTGATCTATTGATTTTGTGGCATAAAGCGTTTTTTGTTTTTTTTTTTTAACCACACATTCTCATTGGCTCAAAACTTGAGAAAAGGTATAGTTGTGTTTTTCTTCCATTCTGAAGTTTAATGTACCTAGGATATAAAATACTGTCAAAATAGCAATAAAATTCTAGGAATTTTGGGGCATTTTGGCTGATTACAAAGCACTTTTGCAACAGTTAAGCTTTATTTTGTTGCGTATTGCAAATACCCCTTGTGAAAAAGGGAGAAATAACTTTTTTATGACTTCTGTGCATGCTTTTCCTGAAACGACTGTAATGAAGATGTTGGTAGATGAATGTAACTGTAAAATTCAGCTGATAGGAATTACAGGTGAGCCAATGAAAAATTCAGCTGATAGCAATTACAGGTGAGCCAATGAAAAGTAAGGATCAAGTTGAATGCTGTTACTTAAAAGACAAAATGGATTCTCTAATCACATAAGTGAGGTCTTTTTCAGTATTTTATTCACAAAGCTTATTTCATACTTTCCCTGAATAAAGGAATTCATATCTTAATATGTGATCATTCTAATGATTTGTTATATAATCGCTTCTAGTTACATTTGACATTCAGTTAGGTACAAGTCTTCTCTTCTTCTCCCAAAGAGATGTATTGTACTGGAGGACACCACCATAACTTTTTCACTGAAAGGATGGTCAGTAGAAATTGATCTTAAAAAAATAACTTTTGAAAATCTATTATTTCAGGTAGTTACTTGTCTCATTAGAGGTGGAAAACTCAAAATATATGTTTGGAGGGTGGGCATGAAGTAGTAATATTCTTGAGAAATATTTTGCCCATTTTTCAGCTGTAAATAGCAATATGCTGGTGGAGCAAACGTGCTTTTTCATGTACTTCCTACTCTGTTATTTTGTTTCCTTTTTCATCCATTTTCTCATATATAACCAATCCAAGTATTTTGAAATTGTTTCAAACATTCAAATGCATTGCATTTTCTTTTCCCTATGTACTTACCTGAAGGCGGATGACACTTATATCCAGTTGAAAAAGGATTTGGAGTATTTGGATCTAAAGGTAAGATTTTATAGGAGTCTACTTCCATTATCTTTTTTCTTTAACCCAGTGGTCTTTTGTGTATCATCTTTGTACGTGCAGGTTTTCAAATCACCTGTTCAGAGATAGAAACTCAGGTGTCTCTTGCCATCACTGTTGTGCTTAGAATATTGAGTGTCTTTACAGTAGTGACTATACAATTAAAGTGCAAACTCAGAAAATGTAATTGCTTCAGTTTGTATGAAAAGCTTGTGGTACTGCTACTCCAGATGAAGGATATGATATTATGTGAGTTTAGAGAAATTAGGTAAAAAACTGATTCAAAATGTTTGTCTGCTGTAGCATTAGAACCAATATGAAGTCAACTCCTCTAAGTTAAAATAGGGTGTTCTTTTAATCCATCTTTTTCCCTTTAAATCTTCTTGAGCTGACTTTTTCCTTGTTTTTATAATATGCCATATTTATAATGTCTTGCTTTCTTGTGAAAATGTGGTGATTAATTAGCACCTGTCATTGTTTTCATATTATTACAACTAAGAGATTTCAAATGCACCCATTCATCCATCCATCCATAGATATAATCTGCCCAAATAATGTTACATGATATTTCCTTTAAAAAAAAAAATTAAAAATATGATATTGAGCATGAAAGCATCCGTCTAAACTAAATGACTTCTGCATCTGGTACACCTGATAGTTGGCAATTTGAAAGCAAATCTAGACTTACTAATATCAGGTTTTGAAGAAAAAAAAAAAACCAAAAATGTATAATCATTTTGCTTAGCAAAGTAGTCTACCACTTTCTATGGTGTGTAGGGTTTCTCACTATATATAAATCATATGGTGTTTCTGAAAATCAAGGTGGAGTGGAATTTGACACCTTGTTATCCTTACTGTTTGGATGTATGTAGTTCTCTCTGATGCCATGGGGCATTGTATAAGTGCAACTAATGAGCTGACTGGACCTATTAGTATGTGTATTTCAATTTTATCTGATGTTTTAATGGCTGAATACATAACTAAATATGTCAATGGAAAATACTACTAATACACATTACACATATGTATAGTGTCATATATACATAAAGATGGAATATTTATCACATAATATATGCGGTATATATAGTCTGAATGATCAAATATGTACACTATTGTAATCATTAATATACAAATTTAAAATTGGTTGGACACATTTCACTTTAGGCCTTGTTCTTGGTTTGTTCATGGCTTTGCCAATTGTAACTACATCCCAAGCCATCAGCTGAATTTTATGACAAATTTCAATTTAAAAGGTCCTACAATTTGAGAAATTTTTAATAAACACAGTGTTTTGTCCATTATAAAACACAACAATTTTCACAGTTAAAAGTGGCCACAGTTTAAGCCTCTTAAAATGTTATGTGCTTAGCCAAATTATTAGGATGGGTTTTTAACTTTTTAGTGGATTCTATCCGGATTGATTTGTTGCCATCCAGGACATGAAGAGCTATTTGGTCTCCTAGGAGCTCCCTTGTGCCTTCCTGCAGTCTGTGTAGCACCTGACGAAAGGAGCCAGGAAGAGAAATGTATGGGAGTTCCTGATCTTTCTGTGAAAAGAAACAATCATAGAATCATAGAGTGGTTTGAGTTGGAAGGGACCTTTAAAGGTCATCTAGCCCAACCCCCCTGCAGTGAGCAGGGACAGCTTTAACCAGATCAGGTTGCTCAGAGCCCCATCCAACCTGACCTTGAATGTTGCCAGGGATGGGGCCTCCACTGCCTCTCTGGGCAACCTGTTCCAGTGCTTGACCACCCTCATTGTAAAAAATTTCTTCCTTATATCTAGTCTGAATCTACGCTCTTTCAGTTTAAAACCATTACGCCTTGTCCTGTCGCAACAGGCCCTGCTATAAAGTCTGTCCCCATCTTTCTTGTAAAGCCCCCTTTAAGTATTGGAAGGTTGCAATTAGGTCTCCCTGCAGCCTTCTCTTCCTCAGGCTGAACAACCCCAACTCTCTCAGCCTGTCCTCATAGGAGAGGTGTTCCAGCCCTTGGATCATTTTTGTGGCCCTCCTCTGGACCCACCCCAACAGGTCCATGTCCTTGTGCTGAGGGCCCCAGAGCTGGATGCAGTACTCCAGGTGAGGTCTCACCAGAGCAGAGCAGAGGGGCAGAATCACCTCCCCCAACCTGCTGGCCACGCTTCTTTTGATGTAGCCCAGGATTCGGTTGGCTTTCTGGGCTGCAAGCGCCCATTGTTGGCTCATGTCCAGCTTTTCATCCACCAGTGCCTCCAAGTCCTTCTCAGCAGGGCTGCTCTCAATCCCTTCATCCCCCAGCATTAGCATGAATGTTAATGTTAGTGTTAGTTCTCTTTTGACAGTCAAAATGTCAAGTGTGTTTCCATAAGAATGATGTAGTTTTTCAAAATGGGCATTTCTTAATAACCTCCTTTCAGTAGTGGTCCGGAAATGTAAAAATTCACGTCAGGTTGCTGAGAGATTAAAAAGACCATGTGAAACTTGAGAAGGTGTCTTTGTATTGGTTAAATTTGTGTTTTGCCACTAAATATAAATTACTGAAGAGAAGCTTTGTTTTGCGGTATGAGGAAAAAAGAGTAGTGCTGGATGAAACTAAGCATATTGCATATTGATTTGGTAATGGTGGAATATGGCAAATTCATAGTTAATATACATGGTACCTTTCATTTAAGACACTGAAGGCTTAGATAGGAAGCCTTTTAATTCAAGTCTCTCTTGATTTCATTGGGCTTTGAGTTAGACCCACTCTGATTAAACAGTTTCAAATAGGACTGAAGGTTTTAGAACTGCAGTTAAACTTTTTTCTTTTCACTAAATCCATTATTTCTGAAGACCTTTCTTCCTAGAGGTTGTGAAATGTAACTTTTCAACATGGAATAGTAATTAAGCAATTAATTGCATAATGCATGCCATAGTGCTAAAACTGATTACAGTAACTGGTTACACAGCATTTAGTAATTTGTCATTACTCACATGCTTTGTCCTCCCATTGCCTTTACACTTTTATATGAGCGTATTTTTTATTATTTAAGAGTTTTAAAATATTATCCAAGAAAAAATGGTTATGTTAATACCAAGATGATACTGTTCAACATTATAGTGTATTGTCTTAAGTATAAATGAAATAAAAATGCTCTAGAGATATTAATCCATTCCAGTAGTTTTCTTCTGCATGCAAGCTAGTTCTGACATTAAAAAAAAGTCTAAAGGCTGTTTGCTCACACTATGATGGACAATTATTGATAATTTTGAACTTGTCAAATACCATGCATTGTAGAGGTTTCCTTTAACAATATTGCCCTTAGATTGTTAACTTTTTTTCCCTGGAATTGTTGCAATGACTCTGTATTCTTTTTTCACTCGTGAAACAGAGGTATGTGGAGCATGAAACAAATGGTGTAACTGTATGCTATAGCATAACCATGCCTCTTCTGCAAACAAATTTCCACAGTTGTGTTTCCACAGTTGTTGTTTTTTAATCTCTGAAGAGGGTAGACTCTGTATTAGAAAAGCAGAAGGGAAGAGCAAGGGAAAGAAAAACTCAGTTTTCCCCACAAGCTTCTAAGATGACTTTGCAAATAAAGTGAAACACAAGTGGTGAAGGAAGCTTCCCTTTTCAGGACTGTGAAATCAAATTCAAGCAGGCTACAGAAGGGATGGATGGGCAGCCTCACTTCAGAATAGTTTACAAACATTCCTGAGCAGGTTATATAAAATACGGATGGGAAAGTGTAGGAGAGATTGTGTCACTAAGTATAAATTGTGGAACCAGTTGAAGCAAATCTGGGGCCCTCTCAGTGGTCCGGCTGTGGTCCTGCTTCATTCTTCTGCAGTCATACTGTAATATCTGAAGCTGTTTAGTTTCTGCTGCAGTTGAAAGAGGTTGCTTGTGCAAGCTTGTGTCACATAGATAATGCAGGAAAAAGTGCATGGCAGGTATTTATTATGGGAGGAAGGGTAAGTGTGATTGAAATAACTTTTTTTGCTGAGGTTTTAACTAGGTTGCTCAAATTATCAGTATAGAGCTCTTGGTGCAAGCGTTACTACGTATTATGTGACAGAAAATAATCTTCCTGTAATTCCCAACACTCTTGAAACTGCAATTGGGCAAGTCTGAGCAAACCCTATTTTGTGTTGTGCTGTTTGTATGTGTGTTTTGCAAAAGTAAAAAAGCCTTATGGTTGGACGACCAATCTACCCACAATATAACAAGATGGGGACATATCCAGTTATAGCTTCTGTAATGGCAGATTATATAGACTATAAACGTCAAGGAGCGGTGTGACATAAGAGCATGTGATTACTGCTGCTCATGGAGTTTTGAGTTGTAAGGTTTGGTGGTTTTAATTTTTACATCTATAACAAGCTATTACTAAACTTCTGTTTGAAACAGATAGAAAATAATGGACCTCTGATCAACATGATATACAAAGTGCTAAAGAACTCAGCACAAGGGTTACTATCCAGTATACATGTAAGACTGCTTGCATCTGAAATGTGCTCATCCCATTGCTTTTTAAAATAGCAGTCAATGTTTACATATTCTGGCTTTTACAGGTGTCTTATGGTAAACAGTAAAGCTTTCTGTAAAATTTTTTTTTCCTTTCCTTTTTTTTTTTCCTCCTCCCCCCCCTTTTGGAGTCTGTATGCAAAATTGTGGCTGACCTCAGTGTTTGGTTTCATTTTATCATGTTTTGAAAATGATTGTGTCAAGTAGTGACTCCTATGTGTAATTCTGAAAATGTGAAAGCATGCTAAATCTTCACCATGTTCTCATGTTCACTGCTTTGATAATTAATAAATTCTTTACAGTTCTGATTATGTAATTTAAAATATCCCCAAAATCTGTAGACTCTGGTTTTTATGTTAATTCCATTGCTTTGAAAAAGGCTTTTGCATTCTCTTAGCTTGCAAGAAATTAAATATACAAAATTATTACTTTGACATGCTAGTATTGATGCTTATATTTAATTATTTGTTACTATTATACATAGGATTTAGCGTTTAAATAATTCCATTAATACTTTTGAAAGAAAGGGTTTTTCTTACATAAAATACGTCATTGTTGAAAATGAAAATATCCAGAAATTGAAAGTTTTGAGAGGCAGTAAATGCTTTTGATTTTCGTGGTGGGGAAGTAACGTTTCACCACATGAAAACACATGATAAGTCTTTGAATGGAGTTTGTCATTGGAGAAGACAGTAAACGAATGATGACCATACTCTTCTGTCTTAAACCTAATTTGTTATTTGAAAACACTATGTGTAGATGGCTAACTTCACATAACATGTTAAATGAGAAACTGAGGTTGTATCAAAGATTTGCCTACACTTGCAGTAAAATCTAATTACTTCAAGAAAGCTAGCATGATCCAGTAGGTGCCTGTTAGGTTAATAAGTAACCTACGTAGCTTCAAGTCTGGAGATTGCCAGTCAGTCAGTAAAAAAGCAAACTACCCCTTCTACCCCACAAAAAAAGCCAACAACTGCTGCTCTTATGTTAAAACTGCTGCTCTTATATTATTAAAGACAATATTTAGGTGAACTTTTCTTCATTAACTCTTGGCTGTATATGAATAGAAACATCCTGTATATGAGTACTGTACTTCCAAACACCAGGTGTTTCTTTGGTAAGATAGTATTTGCTTTAATGAATCTTTAAAAGTGTTACAATCTAGTAATATTAAGCCATTAGATTTTAAGGCTTTTAAAACCTTCATGATTAATGAGCTGCAATATATCGCCATTTTCTTAACCTCATTTATTCACAAAAAGGGTCCCACATAGGCAGTGGAAATAATGAACTTTTCTACAGAGATAAATGTGCCTTCATTTTAAGATTGCTGTGAAGGTTGGAAGTATAATATAGTATAGTTTCTGTATTGATTTAAAAACTGCGTTATGTGAGAAGATAATCTCCTCACCAGAAATTGAATATGAAACAAGTGATTTATGGAATGAGAGATTTGTTATATTATAAATACATCAAAATAGATTAATTACATTTAATTCCACTGTAGTGCTTCTATAGCAGTCTGTTTTTAATAAAATTCACCCTGTACTATGGAAGAGACTATCCTTTGTAGAATGAAATAGTTGCCAAAAAGTTGTATTTTTAGTTCTTAATTAATGCTGTTATTCTTGCAACCATGCATTTAAAGGAACTATTCGAGTCCTTTGGCTTCAAGAAAGCTATTAAAGCCAAACTGTTAAAACTATTAGGTTTTGCAGGAGCAGGACCTTTGTAACCGTAGACAAGTGGGATTATGCCATTTTATGCAGAATTTTAAGCTACTGTAAGAGTTATTAAATAGCCTAATATAACCAGTAATCCTTTCTGATAACATTTTTTTAAAAACTAAAGCCATATTTGAAAAGACTTGTATCCAAAATTTTATTGATCTTTGTTAATAACTGTGAATATTTAACAAAACTTTTCTTTTCATTGATGAAGCATAATTAGGTTTTAGTTTGCAAAAAATTTCTCAGATCTTTAAAACCTATTCCTCTTAGGTGACAGGGCGTGACACATTAAAAGAACGAAGTACAAAACCTGTCAAGATTGCAGAAAGTGATATTGATGTAAGTATCAAATACCACTTCAGAACCTCTTGCATTGTTTTGGCTATTTCTGTGGTACTGTTACGTGTTCACATTATTATGGTCTTTGGGGTAAAATATTGCTAGTGGAGGCTTTTCCGCTTGGTTTTTAAAATCTAACATTATGTATTTATATGATTTCATTTTCAGGTCAAGCTAAGCATTTTCTGTGAGCAAGACAGAATTCTGCAGGACTTGGAGGACAAAATAAGAGCCCTTAAGGAAAATAAAGTAAGTAGATTAAAAAGGGGTTTATAAAATAAAATAACAACTTTCATCTAATCAAAAAATACGGAATTAGAAACAAAAAATCGAATTACTGGATGCTGCTTGCATTGTAGTTTTCTTTGGGCATGTGTATAAACTTATATAAGGAAAAGAATTGGGTTTTATGTTAGGACAAGTACCCACTTTTACGAAACATGTTTTTGAAAATGAATATTTTAAAACCACATACATTTAATTTTCTGGCATTTATTACAAATTGGAGTACATACACTTTTCTGTGTAGTTTTGCTTTATGTCTTAATATGTATATGGTGTGAGCCGGAGTCGTGTTTCATTTGCGGTTCTTCCCACCTGCACAAACATTGTTTGCATAAATAGCAGCGTGCTACCACATTGAGCTCTCGCTTTAACTTGTGTGGTGGTTTATTGGCTTTTTTGTTGTGGGTTTTTTGGTGGTTTGGTTTTTGTTTTTTAAAAAAGGAGTGAGAGAAGGGAGGGAGATTCAAATGCATAGTAATTTCAGAAGCCTGTGGTGGTTTATATATAGTACTGTGAACTTAGGTCTGAGGGTTATGACTGAAATGCTGGAATATCTGCTGTGACGAGGTTGTAGTTGTAACCCACCTCCTTTCCTCTGTGGCCATTCAAGTCAGAGTTCGAATAGTAAACAGCAACAAGGTGGTTTGCCTTTCCTTGTGTTTCCTTGCCTGGATGTATCTTTATCTGCATCACTGCCTGTGAGCTATAGCTGTCAATAAATCGAGGTGGTTCAGAAAAAAATCTATTCTAAAATGAAAGTACTGTCCAGATGGATCCTTCGGGAGAGCTACTGTGCAAAAATGATTCAGTGTTATTTACTCCTGACTGAATGAATTGGGCCTACTTAGTGTTTTAGACGATGTTTTAATCCCTCACATGGCTAATTTAACTATGGCAGAGAATGAGAACCTGTCCTTAAATAAACATCTAATGCTGGGCTGTGGTAGGGCTGTTACAGTTCTATACTGCTTAGTGGGAATTTTTCTGAAACTGTACATTACAGTTTTGTACAGACTGTAAATAGAAAAATTCCCCCCTCACTGCTTTGTGTTTTCCACAGTTTTGGCTACTTAATGGAAAGAGTTAATGGAAAGAACCAGATATTTTTGGTTATAATAATTAATTAAGACTCTTGCACTTTTTCATTTACATCTTAGTCTCCGCAACAGGAGGCCAATCCTAACCTCTAGTGGCTTACAGGAAAGACTGGGGAGATGGAAAACAACTTTTATTTACCTGAAGGTAAATCCATAAAATTCCATGTAAATGTTGTAAGCTTACTGCTATCTTCTCCTTTGTTAGGATCAGCTGGAGTCTGTTTTGGAGGTTTTACACAGGCAGATGGAACAGTACAAAGACCAACCACGACACACAGAAAAAATTTCGTACCAGCAGAGGCTTTTGCAAGAGGATCTCATACAGATTCGGGCTGAAATATCCAAAGTTTCAACGGTACGTGGTTTTCATTGTTTCAAGAAAACCAGAACTAAAATACCACTTAGAGTAAAACTCTATAGTTCATTCGATAGGGGAGTTAAGTCCTGTTCTGAACTGATTTGGTTAAGGTACAGGACACTAAACCAGAACAAAAAAATTTAAACAATCTCTCCGGCTTTCCTTTTCAATGCCCCCTTCCCACCCCCCACCCCCCAAAGCTCAAAAAACTTCTTTATACCTTTTTCATTTCTGTACGGGGCTTATGTTGCAAATCTTTCAGCTAGTCCTTTGAAAATATAAATGTGATTCCATGGTATTTTTCCAGGGGAAAAGGAACTGGGAAAGTCTGCTGCTATTTCAGTCAAAATTTACTGTTGATACTATGACTTGATAAAATTGAAATGCAATTTAATGTTGCATTTTTATGAATAAAAATATTTCTAAGAATTTGCCATGAAAAAGATTATATTAAACCTGGGTGTTGTGTACTCGGTATTACTATTCCCATCTCTTAATGAATATGGGACCAGCTCTTCATAAGATTGTTTCTAGAATTGCATGAACACCTTTCCTATAGTAAGAGCTGATCATTAAAATGCCAGTATTATTTACATATATATATATTCAGTGTTTTGTGCCTGTAGAAATTGTATGGCTTTCACAGACAGCATTTAAAATTTAATCAGGGGCATAAATAACAACTAATTGTAAGAATGGCTGTACTGGTCCAGTCCAAGGCTCCTTCTAGCCAGGGTTCTGGCTTCAGCAGTGGGCATGAGCAGATGCTTAGGGAAGAGTAAGGATATGAGAAGTGGGTAGTATTTCCTGTCATAACCAATCCAGCTTCTAACTCATTTCCAAGAACCTGAACAGTCTCCTATTAAATCTTGTGAACCTTTTGCATCCAAAACATCATTTGGCAAGGTATTGCCTAGATCTTTTCCCCCCTGCATGGACAGCCACTTTCTTTTATTTGTTTTGAGCCTGACTTGTACGTGTTTCATGTGGTATACCCTTGTTCTTGTATAAGAAAGGATGGGGAACGGTCAGTGGTTACCACTCTCTCCATGCCACTTATGGTTTCATAGACCTCCAGTATTTCTTCCCCTCAACTCCCAAGTGATCTCTTTTCTACACTTCAGAGAAAAAGCCTCCTTCATTATTCCTTACATAAAAATGCTCCAGACACTTGATTTTTGTCAGTTCTGGGTCAGAAGACAGACTGTGGTGCCATGGATGCTGGAAATAATCTAAGTAAAAGTAAGGGTGATTGGACAGCCTTGTTCTCCAGGTGTCTGCTTGTTTATTCACTTCTAATGACATTACAACGCAGTCTGTAGAACTTTTAAAGAATAACCTGCTTTGTGTTTCAAAACATGAGTTCTGGTTTAGGTGACTGTTTGGATTTTAATTATAAACTTGTTTTAAATAGAGGAGTAAGGTAAAAGGAAATGGAACCGGACTAGAATTGATTCCTTCAGAGCATGTTAGTCATAGTTCAAATTCTATTAAATGCCAGTTCTATGCTTAAGAAGTGATTTTGTGTGAGGAAGCTGGACAGAATTTTTTAACTAGGGATTCTTGACTTGATCCTGCAAGCTATAAAGCATTTAGAAGTTTATCATCAACTCTAAGCAAAAATGTAGGCTACAAAATGGAATTTTTGCTTCTTTTTGTAATAGAACTACACCATCTTAAAAACACTTTGGTGCTCAATTAGAGAATGGATAGAGTGATTTCAAAGTTTATTGTAACATTGTATTAGAGTATTCCCTCTGTTAATAGGAAATGGAAAACGCCTGGAATGAATATCTGAAATTAGAAAAGGATGTGAGCCAGCTGAAAAAAGCCTTACAGGAACAGATGAATAGTTCATTGGTATCTCAGGTGAGTCCATTTCCAGCCACTGGTTTACCTATGACGTGATTTTGTCTGAACTTGAAAGCTATCATCTCATAAGAGAAATTCTCCACAATTTTTGCACTGTATTCAGGTGTCATATAGCTTAGCTTGCAAAGTTCAGATGTAACAGCATAGCTGTGCAGTAAGTAGCTATCTTGCAGCCTGTGTAATAGTTTCTCATAAGTTGTCTATGCAAATTTGTCATTATTTTATTATGTTTTTATTACATGCTGACATCTTGACATTGATAACAGATTTAATTTATAAGACTGTGCAGGTCTTCTTAGTCTTCCATTTATTTGATCTGACATTGTTGGCTTCTTTATCCATTTTTAACAACATCAGTCACTAGCTTGTTATTGTCATTACTTGTTCTTTGTCATGTTCTTCTATTTATGGAAGATTTATCTCTGCAGATTGTTTTGTGAAGTGGAATAAGTGTTTAACAGCCATCGGTAATTGAAAGGCATCTCAGTTTTAAATCAATTATTCAGTTTTGAATCTTACAAAGAAGCTTTGTTTGAAGCTAAGTTATTCTGTTTGCTGAACTGGATGTGGCATACCAGATTATTTCTACATACCTGCTTACAACTGGTGATTTTATTCCTAGAGCAAGAAATACAGTCTGGATTATTTTTCCTGTGTTTAAGCAGAATAGTTTTATTTAAAGGACAAAACACAAGGAACAGAGCTAATGTATACATTTTGCTCAAATCTTAGCCTACTTTTCCAAATATCCTGGACCAAAAGAGCTCACTAGTTAAATTTTTAGATTTATTTATTTGCAACAAATACCTGATCAGATATGAATTGAAGTCTATTTATTTTCACTATTAATGGATAAATGGTTTGTATCAAAGCAAGAGTTGTAAATTTTAGATTACATCAATCTTTGAAGTCCATTTTCATTTAATTTTGGGGGATGAGGGAGTGATTCAGTTTCTAGAGCCAGAATATTATGTAATTGAGGTCAGCTGTAGAATACATGCCTCCAAAAAAGCCCAGGGGTACTTTAGAATAAAATTGTCCCTGTAGTAAGTTATTTTGTTTAACAAAGGGAAATTACAGGTTTAAACAAAATATACTTTGTTAAAGTACTTTAACAAACAACTTCCAGTTGTGCATTGGGCATGCTTAAAATACTGGATGTGTGCCATGTGATTTAGCAAAACATATAGAAGGGAATGTGGTTTGCACAGAAGAAAATGTTAACTCAGTTTTATTACCCTCTCATAGCACATACATGCATAATTATTAAAAAAATACACGTGCATGCACACAAACATACGCACATTATACGTTTTGTGTGTGTATACTTACATATATGTATGTATGCATAGATATGTTTGGCTAAGATTTTATAAAATGATTCTGAATACCTATTTTGGAAATACTAAGGGGAGCTGATTTTTTCAGAAAGTACTGTATGTTCTTAAAACTATACTCCTTCAAAGAAGTCTCACTTGAAGTACCCATAATACTTAGAGGTTTTTTGATCTCTGCCCAAGGGTATGTAGACTCAAGAATGTTTATCTAGTATTTTCCAATAACACTAAATTAATACACATGATATTTTAAAAAATGCTGTCTTTGTGGAATATTATTAAAAATTCAATAAATTTGCAGACTCAAGTTTCTGTAGGAAACAGCTAATGTTGTTTCTATATAGCATTAATTAAGAGGCTAAAAACTATAAACGTTTCAAGGTGCTCAGTCAGAGTAAATCTTACTTTTAAGAGTGTAGCTTCATTGTCTTTTGCTTAAGGGTTGGGGGGATCTGGGCATGCTGAAGTTAACTGAGATGTGGTATTTTGTAAGTGAGAACTTTTTAGTTGTTAAGTGTTTCTCTTTTGGTTTTATAAATCATTCTAAATTATGTTTCTGTGTGAAGGAAGTTAGGGAAATTGATTTATCTCTCCAAGTTACCTTTTCATGCCTGGCCATAAAGTATATTGATACACTTTCGTGAACAGCAGTCTTGGCTTTCATAATTTAAAAATAAATTCATCTGTTTATCTTTTAGATCCAGTCCATTTTTGCTCTAAAATATTCTCTTCACATCAATATTTAAGTAATGGGAAGAAATTATATTAAAAGATCTCCTGGCTTTTGTACATTACTGATGAAACATTTTCTGAGTGGTTTCAGAAGCAGGATTTTTTGTACGTGTGGGGTTTTTTTAACCAGTTCTGAGGCTTGATTATTGTAAATCCATCATTTAGTTCCTTGTAGTATGATTAATCTCAGAAAAATGAAATGAAACGTGCAAATTTAGAGTTTGTATCCTGACAATCTTTGAAGATATGTCCCATCTATCGAGTGAGTTTACTACAGGCAAATAACGTCCTCCATCATTTAAATGTTTGTGTTCTTGGCACCCTGTTTGCTGATCTATAACCTGGCTGAACATATTTTCTGATCTAAGACAGAAAGTGAAAAGCAATTTATATGCCTGCCTTAGCTCTATGAGGCGTAAGAGCTTTTACTAAAGTTTTTCTCTTTCAGGCTTATAGGATTAATTAGCGGTTATGTTGCAGCTCATGGCAAGTGATGGATTTCTAGAGTTCTTGAGCAGTTTCTGAGCAATTCTTAACTACAGTGTTTCACTGCCGCCTTCTTTCTTTAGTAAAACCAAGAGGAAAACAATATTATTAAGCTTATTCTTAATGCCAATTTTTGAAGGCAGAATTACCAGGCTTTGATTAAGTAGATGAGAATAGCTATTTATGATGATTGCAATGAACATCTGACTGAAGTGGTGGCTTCAGTAGCCAAGGCCTCTGGCTGCAAGATGCCATCAAAAGCAGAGTCCCGGCTGTAGACAAAGCTTCCCTTTCTTTCCTCCTGGAAAGCCTTGGTAAAGCAAATAGGATGCAAGATGAGACCAAATCCTGGAACAGCAGCAATATATTTTTTCAACCTATAATACATCATGTCCAGTAGGCCTAACAACCCAAATATAAGCAGAAATTAAATTTGTCAGCCCTTCTGAGTTAGTTTTGGTTTTATATTTCATCCATTAAAAGCCATTAGGAAGTTCACAGCAGCAGTCAGGGAGACTATACTAATTTTTTGGTTTTTTAATATTGGACATTTCCCCTAAACATATTAAGATGAGTTCCGTAAGGCTGTCTTAGCAGTCTTAAGTGTGTTAGTATGGGATTTAAGAACAAAGTTCGAATGAAAAGGTTCTGTAAGCTCATTTTATGTAGAAATTAAACTAGGATTTTATAGCCTGTATAATACTGTAGAGAAAAATGTAGAGGTGTCTCTTTCCCCCAGTCTTCTATAGGAAGTCTTCCAAGACTCAGAAAATGCTCTAACAAATTTTATAGGCAAGATATGTTGATTTGTGTTCGTGGGGTTTTTTAAAGTTTTAAAATAATTATTTAACTCATTTCTAGACTCCTAAGTTTTCATGTAAGTTCTGAAACATTAGTTTGGTTTTGGTGTGAAAAGAAGGATAAGCCCATAATAAATAAAAGATGAGATATAATTGATTTTTCTTTTTTCTTTTTCTACAAACATCAGGAGAAAACACAAATACAAAAAGACTTGTGGAGAATTGAAGATGTTACAGCTGGCTTGAGTGCAAATAAAACGAACTACAAAACCATGGTAGACTCTATCAAGAATCCAGGTAAGAAGAGCATAATAAAAACATAAAAAATACACAAATGCAGCTGAATCTTTGGGTCTGTGCAAATAGTCTAGAAGTTTGTTCTACTGCAGAAAATCCAGTTAATTCTGCTATGGGTTGCATCAGAAAACTCTTGTTGATTGAGCACATTAACTGGGCGTTTCTTTGGTTGAGGTGGCAAAAAGGATTTTTGTTGTTTGTTTTCACATACTGGTAACGCTAAAATGTAACAAGCCATAGAAAAGGGAACAGTAATAATAATGGGCTAAGTTCTTCAAGTTGCAGTTGTCTCATGCCAGCGTAGTATCTATTCTGCGTTCCGTCCAGAAGCTCCTCTCTGTGTTCTTCTCTGCCTTCCCCCCGCTCCCCGCCTTGGATACTGCCCAACTGCCCCTGCTGCAGTTGCCTTCCCCCTGCCTCTTCAGGCAGGTGGTTGGTGGGCAGAACAGCAACATCAGCTATGGAAAAGATGAAGGGAAAGTCTGTGTGGTCTGTATTTCAGTTGCTTTATTCTGTTTCAAAAGAAAAGACCTAACACGTTGGGATGGCAAGAGACTGTTAACGCCTACTGTAAATTCACTTTAAAGTATCTTTGCTTACATTTTACATACAGAGATAAAATAATTCTGAGATGGTGAGATCTTGTTTTATTTAAGGTATAGCTATGAGTGCTTTGCCTTGTCTAGATCTGTAGGTACCTTAAGGACTCTGTGGCACAGGGCCAGATACAGCCTATGAACTGATTTCTTATGATTCTTGGGCTTTTCCTTCCTTCCCTCCCACTGCCTTCTCCAAGGAATTTTACTGGATGATATTAAAGTGTGTGTGTTTATTTTTGGCCTGAAAGGCTTGCTTGATCCTCATCAAGAAAATGTTTTCCACCCCTGCTATAATGTAACAAACATTTTTATGTCCAAAAAACCCCTTGTTTGTGCTCAAAACAACGTGCAGAGTATTAGGGCTGGTTTATGAAGTCTAAGGATGTTAATTGCTGTTCTTATGAACGTTATTGATAAGAAACAACATTTGCATATTTCTCCCCTAGAGAGAAAAATAGTGCCTTCATTTTCTCAGTCCTCAGTGCCTTCCTTACCAGCTTCCCTCGCAACTGCAGAGAGCAAACTTTCAGTCCCGCAAAGCCCTCCACCCAGTCCAGTTAAATCCTCTCTGGAGGTTAGGCTGTATCCACAGCCTTATTTCCAGGCCAGAACGCAGCACCAAGCACAGCAGCTGAAAAAAATCGAGCCGCCTCTTCAGTCACCAATTAAGCTAAAGCCAAAGGTTGTAAGTATTGCTCTTGTGAGATTCATTCACCAATGTTTCCATGTACTTCAGGCAGAAACAGTGAAAGTGTCATGGTTACAAAGTGCACACAGTGTGGAAGCGCAACAGGGAGACACTTAAGGTGTTTGTATTGAAACAGAGCAATAGCACTTACAGGAGAATATATGTGTGTAACCTGGAGCTTTATGTACAGTAGGCATATACTGGTTTAGAACATACCAATGCAGAGCCTTCCTTGCTAATGCCTTGTGGTTGATGAGTTGTTTGCTTTCTTGAGTCTTTGGTTTTTAAAGCCTCAAGCTCCTGGTGTGAACAGAGTAGAGCATGCTAAAGCAGCCACAAATAACTCATATAATGTAATGAACTTTCAGTTAGTTTATGCCAGAGTGTTTTCAGACTGTTTGCCAAGTACCTGTGCTTTCCTGTTACCAGGAAGATGAAGCACCGCCCAGACCTCCTCTCCCTCAGTTGTACAGTCCTGACGATCAGCCACCAGCTGTTCCACCTCTCCCGAGAGAAGCCACTGTCATCAGACACACATCAGTGCGGGGCCTGAAACGTCAGTCAGATGAAAGAAAGAGAGACAGAGAACTCGGACAGTATGTTAATGGAGATTATAGGGTGAGCACTCATACACCTGTACACCTGAACTTTAAAGATATGTGAACCTGTAATAAAAGATATTGCCTGTAGGTCTTGTAATAAGGCGGGGGGGGGGGGGG